TATGACATAAACACGCACATCTGTCTTGAGATTTAACTATAACATACTAGAACTGTCAGGCAAATGCGCATTGTGAGTGTGCAACAAGTAAATGTTTGACAAGGATCCCTTGAATTAATTATTAAAGAATTACAACAAGGGTACAAAGCACAAAAATAAACTTCACAGTCACAAACTATGTCATGTGATCTAGCCTAAATATATCTTGTGTATATATATATATATTTGTTTTAAATGTACTTCCTTATTAGCCACAGAAGATTCAGTATACAGGAGATGAGATTTTGAAGAATGAACAGACGTTTGATGTTAACTGTGGCTGATTTTCATATCACACAGAAATAAATGCTAGAAAAATACATGTTAACTTTACAAGCCCTGCAGATTATAGTCATTGTGTTGAACGGTAGTGTGATGTTGAACATGACTCCCTGCTGTCAGTTCATGTGCAGCCCTGGTAACATTAGTGTGAGAATAATACACACTTCATGAGAACACACTGCCGCTCAGTGTTTACCTCTCCCACACCGCTCTGGTTTCTGGAGGTAACTCATTAACCCTGACATCAGTGATGTGCACGGACGTGTTCAATGATCAACCCGCTGCACCGTGCGTCTCAGGCAGAACAAACAGCGCTCTGCAAGCTGCGGCTCACTGAGCGGCTCAGTGACGCTCCGATTCCCTCGCCCCTGAACGCACCACGCATCAGACCAGCCCCCCCTCCTACTGAGTGAGCTTTACTCTCTTGTTTATTGTTCCACACAGTCCCTGAGACGTTTCTATTCCTGCCTCACATCTGGGGGATGAGGAGGAATGGGGGGGGGGGGGGGGGGGGGGGGGGGTCGAGGGTCGCCCCCTCTCTTTGGTCTGCTGCGGCATCATGGGAGACATGGCTGTTAGTTCATGAGTTCAACACGGGTCTGAGAGACTGTCTGCTGACATCCTGTTCGTCACACTGTGTGTGTGTTTGTGTGTGTGTAATGCCTTTGTCAAATCTTTAAGACTATAGCAGCATCACTTCTTCTTCATGGTTTGAAGGCTACACTTTAACAAAAAGTGTGTTCACATTACAGCGTGTGAAGTTCTAATGTTGTCAGAAACTGTCCAGTAATTTAAGTAATGGCTCGCATTAATCACATTACTCAAATCCTCTTTAGAGTGGGTCACCTTTTTAGTTATTTTTTAATCGATCCGTGGGAAGTTATAGCTTGCCATCACCACCCACTGCTTTGCTAGTGCTGTATTTACTGTGATTAGCATGTAGCTTGTAGCATGTTAACAAACACTGATTGCTCCAATGAGGAAGTGTGGTTTGAATCAGCAGGTGTAGTGCAATGTTTAGATTATTTGTGCATTTGAATCAATAAAACAAAAGAGGAGGAATAAACTATAAAAGAAGAACATGAAAGACCACCTAACAATTACATTAATATTTAATCATATTTTTCTGCCCTGATTTCATGCACTGTATCACAAATCAGTGTGCTCAAGGAGAGGCTGTGAAAGATGTTCACTCTGTATAACTGGACCTCATTGTGTGTGCAGGCTCCTGATGTGTGATGGTGTGCGGCTGTGACGGTGTTGCTGCTTCTCGTGTCCCATTGAAGGAGGAGGACTGCCCCCCCCCCTCGAAGCAGCACCGTCGGTGAGTCTCAGCAGGAGAGAGGGAGGTGTAAATCTCACCTCCTCCCCCCTCAGGCTCTCTGTCGCTCTGATGGAGAGGAGCTGAGGAAGAAGCTGTGAAAGGGGGGAGGGGTGGACATACTGTAGCAGCGTTTTGTTCATGTAGTCAGAAGTTATTTTAATCTGAGTGAAGAAAGACCAAACTTTTTTAGCTCAAGCCACTGAAATAATTTGTTAATATATTTAATAATGATCAATTTGTGCTTATTTTGTCACTGTACCTTTATTTAAGTCAGTAAGTCTCCCACACATTCCCCCCTCTGACTGAAACGCCTCAATTGGACTTATTTGCTTAATTCTGTAACATAGTGACATCACCTATGTAACACTCGTGCTCCTATTGGCTAGCCCTCCAACGCATTGTACGTGCTAAAGGGCTGGACATCTCTAAGCGGTTGACCAATCACAACACAGCCAGCCAGCTAACCAATCAGAGCAGACTGGGCTCTGGTTTCAGACAGAGGGTGAAAAGAGGTGCTGCAGCACAGGAAGTATGAGAAAAAAAAGACCTTGTTGAACAATGGGCAACAATCATGTCACAGAAGAGGCACAAAATATTATGAACCTGAACAGAATATGTCATGTTTACTTTAAAAAATACAGCATCACAGTTTCATCTCTCATGGTTATGTCGTTATCTAAAAATCTCTGGTGTTTACCGCAGAGGCAATGTTAGATATTAGACATTATGTTTGATGCATGTGAGGTTAGGGTGTTTGTGTTGTGAGGTGTGTGTGTCCCTTGTGTTGTCATTAGTGTACAGTGCTGCTGTTTGGTCTCCAAGGTAACCTCTGTCTCTCTCCCAGCAGCCTCCTGGGCCTCAGGACAGACCGCGCCCCCCTCGCCTCCATCACACATTGAGCACCCCCCCCCCCCCGCCCCCCGACTGTTTTTATACTGTTACACACTCCTCTTCGCAGCGGCAGTGCTCCCTCCTGGTGAAGGTACCCCCTCCCCCAACGTTAGCACTGCCCGCTAATGTTATTACTATAATTATTACTACTCTGTATATCATTCATATTAATGTTATTATTATGATTATTACATACATGTTAAGCATGACTTTGCAAAAAAAAGGAAAAAACCCAATGCTGTACATTTTTAGATATTTTAAAGAAATACAAAAAAGTATTTTTGTAATCGAAACTGTTTGAAATGTTTGATCCTGTTTAAGTGTGTAAGGAACCGTGTGTGTGACATCATACAATTATGAGTCATCATAGAATAATCAGTCATAAAACAATGAGTTATCATAAAACGAGTGGACGTAATGCATCAAAGCAGAGTGTGTCTGCTTTTCTACTTCCTGTTTCTCCGTGTGGGTACCCCATGGAGCCAACATGTAGTCCTGATAGAGCTCACATGTAATCCTGATGTAGCCAACATGTAATCCTGATGGAGCCAACATGTAGTCCTGATAGAGCTCACATGTAGTCCTGATGGACCCAACATGTAGTCCTGATGTAGTCCAGATAGGGCCAACATGTAGTCCTGATGCAGCCAACATGTAGTCCTGATGGACCCAACATGTAGTCCTGATGTAGTCCTAATGGAGACCACATGTAGTCCTGATGCAGCCAACATGTAATCCTGATGGAGCCAACATGTAGTCCTGATAGAGCTCACATGTAGTCCTGATGGAGACCACATGTAATCCTGATGTAGCCAACATGTAATCCTGATGGAGCCAACATGTAGTCCTGATAGAGCTCACATGTAGTCCTGATGTAGTCCAGATAGGGCCAACATGTAGTCCTGATGCAGCCAACATGTAGTCCTGATGGACCCAACATGTAGTTCTGATGTAGTCCAGATAGGGCCAACATGTAGTCCTGATGCAGCCAACATGTAGTCCTGATGAACCCAACATGTAATCCTGATGTAGTCCTAATGGAGACCACATGTAGTAGTAAAGCCAACATGTAGTCCTGATAGAGCTCACATGTAGTCCTGATGGACCCAACATGTAGTCCTGATGTAGTCCAGATAGGGCCAACATGTAGTCCTGATGCAGCCAACATGTAGTCCTGATGGACCCAACATGTAGTCCTGATGTAGTCCTAATGGAGACCACATGTAGTAGTAAAGCCAACATGTAGTCCTAGTACAGCCAACATGTGATCCTGATGTAGTCCTGATGGAGCCAACATGTAGTCCTGACGTAGTCCTTAAAGAGCCAACATGCAGTCCTGACGTAGTCCTTAAAGAGCCAACATGTAGTCCTGACGTAGTCCTTAAAGAGCCAACATGCAGTCCTGATGTAGACCTGATGGATCCAACATGTAGTCCTGATGGAGCCAACATGTAGTCCTGATGGATCCAACATGTAGTCCTAATGGAGCCAGCATCTAGTCCTAATGGAGCCAACTTGTAGTCCTGACGCAGTCCTTATAAAGCCAACATGTGGTCCTGATGGAGCCAACATGTAGTCCTGTGTAGTCGTCCTCTATTTTTCTTCTTATCTCTTTGTTTTCTTACCTGGGACAGTTGTAGACAGATGTAGACAGGTGTATTTGGGTGGAGTTGCCCCCCTCCTGACGGCTGTGGTCCTCGCTGAGATTTCTTGTGAAGTTTGACGTTATTTTAGCTTCCTGTCTCCTTTGGTGTGACAGCAGGGAGCTGCTCGGAGTCTGAAAGAAAGCGTTTAGTCTCTTTCGTCTATTTTTAGTGATTTGCTCGTTGATGATTGGATAAAATACTCTTTGTGTGTATTCTGGGCCTGCAATAATCTTTGCTGTCTGACACATCACTGATCACACTCCTGTGACACTGTGACGACTCCTTGATGTGGCGTTCTTAGAAAACTTCGTGAAGAGGCCGGGTCACGCTGAGAAACAGTCCTCCCTGTGATGTTAAATCATATAGCCAGTGTTTGTAATGAATAATAATATTAATATGCACATCATGATTTTGTTTCTACAAACATTTTTTAAGCCAAGTGTGGCAGCAGATTTACTAGAACAAGTATTTATAAGGTGTGTGTGTGTTTTTTTGGGTATCATGTTTTTAAAGTGAGATGCCCATCATATAACTCTCTGTAAGTATTCCTGTACGTCTAACTGTATATTCCTTTGGTCATTTTGTAGAGCTTTGTGTGTTTGTATATGAACAATGATAATCACTGTGAGCTGCAGAGGTCAGCAGTGTGTACTTTGTGTGTTCCTGCTCCTCTTGTACAGTGTGTGTGTGTTCTCTGTGAGGATCAGTGAATTACAGAGGTGTGTGTGTGTTTGAAGCAACAAAAAAAGTGATCAAAATGAGTTTTTATGAAAATGTAAAGACATTAAAGATTGACGTCATGTCATGATTACATTTAATCTTCTCTGAGTTATTGTGCTTTACACCAGTGGGTCACTCACCAGGTAGCTTTTCACCCACAATGCATTTCCACCTGCTCAATTTCCTCCTTCCTCCCTTTCACACTCGTCGTTGGATAACACCTCCTCGCCCTCACGAGGCTACGGACACCATGTGGGATCCTTTAAAGAGCTGCAGACTTCTCTCTGCCCTCTGTAAGAATAACCAGCTCCTCCTGAGACACACACACACACACACACACACACACACACACACACACACACACACACACAGAGGAGGACAGGCCCTGTGTGTGCATGCCTACGCCCCACTGGCCGCAGTTAGTAAAATGGTGTGACTCTGATAGCCCATTAGAGCAGCTGATGGGTGAGCCTCTGAAGCATCACTGCTACAGTTAGCTTTGAAAGCTAACGGCTACAGTTAACTTTGAAAGCTAATGGTTAAAGTGTGCGATGTGGGTTGCTAGTGGGTTGTTAACAGCATCAAACACAAAGTCAAGCTGATGGTGATGGGCTTTACTCTCCAGGTGTCATCGACATTGAGCCAGTTGTTCTGTAAGGTTTAACCCCTGATCTCAGGTCAGTGCTGCTTTCAGGGACATTACGAATACACTTCACATGTCTCAGTGCTCATATGTTTAACATGCAGTCACCTTGTTCAACATTACTGTAACCACAAACACCTCAGACAGCTGCTGACTGTCACATCTGTGCAGGGCATGAGTCAGCAGATCTCCAGCAACAGCCAACATGTGATCCTGATGTAGTCCTGATGGAGCCAACAAACAGTGACTCAGTAGCCTTCATGTTTTTGCACAGTCACTGTCTGATCTGTCTCCTGTACAGAATCTCTGAGAAACAGACCCCCTCACAGCCGGGAACTCCTCCTCCTCCTCCCCTGGTAGGGCCCCTGCTCCTTTCTCCTCCACTTCCTGTTTCTCACACACTTCATGTTGCTTCAGTTTGCTTCATGTTATCTTAATCACTAAAGCCAATAATTGTGAGAAGGATCATGTTGCTCTATTGTGTGTGTGTGTGTGTGTGTGTGTGTGTGTGTGTGTGTGTGTGTGTGTGTGTGTGTGTGTGTGTGTGTGTGTGTATTTGATGTGAGTGTGATATGATAACCTGGCTGATGACATCATAGAAAATATTATAAAAAGAGCTCCACAGCGCTGCCTGGTGGTTATACACCACATTACATCATGTAGTAGAGTAGAAATACTCACATTTTCATATTGTATGATGTGTTTTTATTTGCAGTAGTTTTAAACTGGTCCCTGCTGAGCTGCAGTCTCCAGTAAACTGGTGTCAGGGCGCCCTCCTGTAGCCACAGAGGCTCAGTGCATCTCATCTCTGTTCCTGTCACTGCTGCAGGGTTCAAACACTGTGAATGGATCCTTTTTTCAGACATCATGTGAGCAGTCAGTTCGTATCAGCTGACTGCAGCGGCCTGCAGGCAGCAACACAAGATCCAGACTCTAGAGCAACTGTTCATTTATTCAAACTTAAATGATCCACCAACATTAGACTCATCAACATGGCTTTATCGTCACACACTAAATATTAAAAGTAATCGGAGCAAATTTGTTTCTCAGCTCCTACCACAGCTACCACATCATCAAAAGTGGACGAATGTTAGGCACATGCTCATCTATTAATCATATTGTTCAATTAGAAAAGCTATCAGAGGAAAGACTTATCAAACAAACTTTACCTCAGAAGATATCATATCATGTCCTGAGGGAATCTAAAAGGTATCTATAAATACTTTTAATGTTTTTGAACCAAAACACAATCTTTTATAAACCTGATCAACTGGATTTGTTTGAATTCACCACGTTAACCCTGTGAAAAAGATTTAACCATCTGTATGTGAGGAGTTGAGAATGAAAAAAAGAAATGAACAGGAAAATGTGTTTTAATAATTGATGTTATTGATTTATTGTAAGAGGGATTAAACTCACCTGTTAGAAGACATGAATGCTTTTAGTTTTCAGAACATGAGAAAGTGCTCCAGCCTCTTGTGGCCAAAGACAATATGGTGGATCTTTCTGAATATAAAAACATTCAATTCTATAAGTAACTTTGTGCTGCTGTCTCCACCTGGTGTTGCTGCAGGGAAATCACCCTGCATGCTGTTTGATGTATACATTAAAAAGTGTCAGCTCAGCACAGATATTATTTTAAAACTAACAACAAATGTATCTCACATGTCTATCAGGCTGGCTGAATATGGAAGTGATTTACAAAAGTTAGCCCAGCTACCAGAGAATAAAAGATTTATAGTGACTTTTTTTTAGATTTGATGCGGCTTCTTTTATTGAAAGGCCTGTCTGATCTGTGTGAATCAATATTATATATTTAATATAAGATTCTGGTTCCTTAGCACTTATATATTTATGTTGCTGCATCCACACGCCCTCCTGGGACAGTGCACCCCCCTCAGCAGCCACCTGCATGTCTCCATGGGGGTTTCTATATGATCCGGGTCCAGGCGCCACACAGAGAAATGACTGTGAGAGTTAGAGAAGACCACAGAGATCCTGGAGCTGCAGCTCGGTGTCACTGAGGAAGCTTCAAACATCCAGCATCAGTGCAACACTTATTATAGAACATAAACCTTTTAGCAGATTTCAGTTATAATGTGCAGTGATGAAGCTGAGAGTGTGGAGCACCAGGCTGTGTGAACATGATAACGAACTGAGAAGTTTCATAAAAATACAATTACGATCATAAGACATAACGGAGGCATGTGCAATTGGACACCAACTTGGTATAAGCTATACCAAGCTTGATATTTTTAAACAGGTTGATGAAGTAGTAGATATTTTATATAAATCTTTTGATCATGCCAACTTTGCTTCAAAAAAAGAAGATGTTTATTCACAAACTTATTTCATTTATTCCGCAAGTATTACAACTTTTAAACGGATATTATTGTTTCCATATATTTATACCACATCAATCCTACTTTAAGTCCTGCCCTATTTTCGTAAATAATTTCATGTTCCATCAAACAATTTATATGAAGTAAATGTAATACTGTCTGCCCTAACATGTTCTGATTAACTCAAAAAAATAAAAATAATAATAATAGGTAATAATGTCTGTGTTTAGTTACTGTATATTAAAGCAGTGTGTGTTTCTCATGACTGCCACCTCCTCTCCCTCAGCAGATGTGTTCATGACTCAGCATATGGCGACACACACAGAGGCCTGTTCATGAGGTCATTAAAGAGCCTCATTGTGATCAACAGTTATCAGATGACTGTATACTCTGAGAGGAACACCTCGCTCTGCTTCCCTCGTCGCTCCGCACTAATCTGGACGTTTCCTCAGAGCGAGGTGCTAAGCTCTTAATTGCAGGTGGTGTGTTCACTGCTCCCAATCCCTCCTTTTGTTGCAGCCTGTGGACAAACAAAGGCTCTTTTCCTTGACTCTCAGTGGCAGAAAGGATTAAGTCAACATTTCTCATGACCTCTGAGGCCTGGGGAGGGGGGGCGGCACACAATAGGAAACCTGCCGGAGGTGTGTGTGAGAATTCAACTTTATTTATTGCGGCCCAACGACAAAATGCATGTCTACAGATCATGTTCTCAGTGTACAGTAATCAGTGCCGGAATAACTCTGTCCCACTGAGACTGAGGGAGGTGTGAAGCACTGATCTGCTGTTCATTTGTTCCCCATTACACAAGCTGCATTTGGGCTAATTAGTGCTGACAGTAACTCTTCATATGCTACTGAATGAATGACTGCATCACTAAGGGAACTAAAGCAGAACAGTTCTGCTTCATTTGTGGTGTTTTAATCAACATTCTCTGATATAGTCTACAGCTGGTCTGTTGATCTGAAGTCACATCCATGTAGAGGAGTGCACTGACTTCCTAACTTTGCTTAAATGCAGTGATGTAATAAATGGCAGGATTTTGTCTCTCTGCCTGAATGGCTTTTATTTGTGCTGTTTTTTGGGATATTTCCTTCTGTCAGACTTCATGAAAACGTGCTGACCTGGGGCCAGTAGGCTACTCATTGTAGAAGTAGAAATGTGAATGGCAGGATTTTCTCTCACGTTGTTTTTTTTATTTTTGCTTGGGTCGGGGTGTTTCCTAACGTAAGACATTATAACAACGTGCTGACCTGGGGCCAGTACTCATGAAGACAAAAATAGGAATATGGCATACAAAGCGCTGAAACAATGCACAAATAACAGGGCGCAACGTTCTTGAAAGAGAGTGATTCTGGGAAGTCTGCAAACCACAGATGTTAGTCATTGTGCCTTTTAAATGCATCGTTAATGCATGAATATCAATGAAGCTGCACTGTCTCTGGGTTAATCCTGTTTAAAAAGAGAGGGAAACTACAAGGTTATCAAGGTACATTTCCCTTTCCTCCCATCAACGCTGTTGGTCCATTAGAGAGCACTTTACTCCCATGCTGGTGCAGTAAAGCCCCCCCACCCACCCATAGTACGCAGAGTGTAACGGCGTGTTGTGCAGAGATATGGGGGCTCCCAGTGAGCGTAGCAGGGACTGGTGTGCGATGTTTATCTGGAGATGCCCCGGAGTCTGATCACCGCCTCCATCACCACCTGCTGAAGAAATCCAAATAATGACCTGCTGCTAATGTGGGTGGTGGTCCTTATCTGCAGCCAATCACAACGAAGCATGACGGGGCTCATTGCTCATTTCCTCCAACATGGAGAAGGAGTCAAGGTTCAGCAATCATGCTCCCCAGAGGATGTACTGTAGTAACTTTTCTCCACGAGCTACAGACTCTCCGTCCTGTAGTGAATCTGATGCCGGACTCCCAGGGTTTCTACGAGGCCCCCCTCACACAGGCTAACACTTGGGGATTACGCCCTCAGTGTTTCAGAGTCACTCACCTGGAAAAGGAGTCCTGAATGGAGGCTCACGCCAATATATGAGACACAGTCAGGTGGAAGGAATAAGGCATGCTGGGAGATAAAAATAACGTGGAACAAACAGTCAGGTGGAAGGAAT